TGAGGATCTTGAAATGAGCTTATTCTGAAGGAGATGGTCCTAAATCTGAAGACAGAGTCCTGATTCTAGGGGTCTGGCATTCAAAATTGCTAGGGAATGAATTCCTGTTCTCTGAAGTTGCAATGCAGTTGGTGGAAATCTATCATAGTAACCCTGGGGAATGAGTACTCCTAAATATTTTTTTATGTGCTTTATTTTCTCAGGACCAATGTAATTGAATAAAAATAAAGAGCATTCTGAAGACAAAACTCTTACCATTTAAACCTTGTCCTATTTTTATAATACCGGAGGCAAAATCTGTAATTGAACCACGTAGAGTTCTTGTATCAAAAGCTGTGTTGTTCTCCTCCAAGCCATTGATAAAGAAACTGATTTCTGTCTGATGTACCTGTAAGAAATTATCACCATTAAGAACATACTTTTATTTTATAATATAGAAATTAGAATATAAAAACATTTCAATAATATTAGAAGCTATCCAACCAATCAGTCTAATAACTACCTATATTCCAAGCTTGAAAAGTTTTTCATTTAATATCCAGAGGATTTTACTTTCACTGCAAGTTAAAAAATTCAGTTTGGTTGCTAAAGAGTCCCTTAAATAACAATTAGCACTGCTATGTTTAAGCAAATGTAGCCATTGAGAGTGGGTTAAAAAAATAAGCCTGGATGTGTTCCAGTAAAACATTATTCACAAGATATGACCCATGGGTTATAATTTGATGAAATCTGGATTCTACTATAAAAATATGGATATTTTGTGTGGCACATCTGAATCATCAATCAAACGTTCACGGGACATCTCAGCAGTCTGTCACGAGGAATTGACAGTAAAATGCCGAATCTCTCCTCTTGCTCTCATGCCTGATTAGTAAGGGAAATAGTTCAAAAGACACGAAGGCAAAGACACAGAGTCACAGACTTGAGGGTCTACCAAGCCTTGATGGATGCATTCTAATTCTGAATAAAAAGTCAGCTGTCTGGACATCAAATTTTGTGTCTACCAATAGTCTTCCTGTTCAAGTGCTTCTAACTTACATGCAAAAGGCACTCAAATTATTAAAGCATCTCAAGTGGCAAACAGAAGTTCTGGGAGATAGAAAGGACTGAAAGAGGAATTTGGATCGAATATTATGCAATTAAAAGGTTGATGCAAACACACTAAGTGCAGCACTTACAACATTATTATAGCATGGACTGAGAGATCATGAGGTATACACGGGCTCTGAGTGATCATGAGGTATACACGGACTCTGAGGGATCATGAGGTATACACGGACTCTGAGTGATCATGAGGCATACATCGGCTCTGAGTGATCATGAGGTATACACGGACTCTGAGTGATCATGAGGTATACATGGACTGTGAGTGATCATGAGGTATACATGGGCTCTGAGTGATCATGAGGTATACACGGACTCTGAGTGATCATGAGGTATACATGGACTCTGAGTGATCATGAGGTATACACAGGCTCTGAGAGATCATGAGGTATACACGGGCTCTGAGTGATCCTGAGGCTCTGAGAGATCATGAGGTATACATGGGCTCTGCGCGCTCATGAGCTACACATGTAGGTTCACTGATAGAACGAATGGGCTGCCTGGTGCAGGACTTTTTGACAGCATAGGAGGCCAGGCAGATAGAAGGTGAGAGAGCGTGCGGAGTGTGTGGGAAAGGTCTTTGCTCTCCATTGTGGTAAAGCGAGCCTGCACTGCTCCACAAACTATTCTGAAATGTCTTTCTGTGAAAAGGGTCATGCGACAATTATGGAAGTTAAAACCTTCATTCCCAAACATCTAAAAACTACGTAAACTGCCATAAGAACCCTTTTGACAATCCACCAATAAACACTAAAACAAAGAAATCTAGAGCTTAATTCTATAATTGTTTAGTAGAAAAGATTTTCTTCAAAACAGTTAGCCAGTGTACTGTGTCTCCATTGTAACCAACTTGCCTTCATTCTAGCATGTTCTTTCTTAAATTGACCCACCGGGATTATGTTAGAGTCGATTTTAAGCAAAGCTGTAATGCACAAGAAGCCCGTGGCAGTTCCTTGCGGACTGTATCTATTTCTCTGTGCTGAATAGTAAGGCTGCACCTTTTTTATTTTTATTTTTCTTGCATCCCATTTTTCACAACCTGTTACTGTTATTTGGTGTTTGACTGTTATCATTATGAGAGATACAGGCTCTTCGACTCTGTTATTTGTAGCATTATCTCATGTTTTACAACATCTTTGCGCAACATGCAGGCCACATGAAATATAACTAGTGAAAAGTTCTCAGTGGTATTAATGCATAAAAAAGAATGTGGTTCCATCTCTACTGTCTTTACCCAGCCAAAAGCTGATGAACAGCCAATTTTCCTTTATCACATTAGCGCAGCCATGAGGGAAACACATTTGTTCTAGTCAGCTACACTAAAGATACTATTACCAATCTAACATATACATGTTTTATATCAGCAGCATCCTCAGAGCATGAGAGAGCCAACAATATATTAACACTAGCATGACAGTTTATTTAAGAAAAGAAAATTGTCTCTGCAGAGGGACAGAAGTTAGAAACGTATGGCTGAAGCCCGGTGCCACTGGTCTAATAAAGGTGATAATTCTTGGGCTTTCTTTACAGCAGGTAACGCTCCTGTGACAGCTCTGTCATATCATTCAAATAAAAATGTTGTCTTTTACAAGTTTAAAGGTAGCTTTATTTCCAGTCGGATAGAACACACAGTTTTGATTTTCTGTATTCGCTGTGTTATATCTGTCGCCAGGAGTTCAGGACCTTTGTCTTTTATTTTTTATTTTTTTTATCAAGTCATCACCTATTTGCTTAGTAGAAGAATTCAGCGTCACTCGTGGCGAATTCTAGAAGATGTTTTCACTTGCATGGTGCTGAAGAAATGATTTATGATGATCCCCAGTCACTCTCTCCCTCCATCCCCTCCCCAACAGACTACCTTTCTATAAATAAGATTCAATCTTTGGTTTTCTGCACCATGTTTTATGTTACAAGATTGTCCAAACTGTTTTACAATTCTGATCCAGAGCAGCACTGCACAGAGGCTGTGAACACAATGGTGGCTATTTTGTAATAGCTCATGCTTATGCCCCCCTTTCCAGTTACTGAGGGGAACGGGACTATGTATGAGGGGATTTCTGATGTGTCAAGAGAAAGCCTTCTGCTGAAACAGTCTTCCCGCCGCTCTCGCTCTCTGACCCTGGGCAAAGGAGAGCAGCGCGTGTTGGCTGATATGCTTAGAATGAGGGAACTGACAGGCCCAGCAGCAGCCAAGGAGGGCTTGAAATTGCCCTGTTAAAAGATCTGCAAGTCTGTTGGCTAAAGATATAAATGAGCAGGTCATTCTTAAGCCTTTTATCCCTGGGAGATGCTTATTCTGTTTTAACCATTAGGCTGGTCAACTGTGTGTCCCTGTGAGAGGCTGGACTCAACTGTAAGAGTATATTATGTGGAAATAAAAATAAAATGCCCCAAACCGTCCTCTTGGGCTCATGCCTGATTAGTCAGGGGTGTAGTCCAAAGGGTATGAAGAGAAAGCATGGTGTCACACACTTTAAATGACAGCATTTGGAAGGCAGAGGCAGGAGGATTGTCACAAGTTCAAGGCCAGCCTGGACTGACTACATAGTGTAACCCTATCTAAAAAGACAGGAAAGTAACTCCTTAGGACTAAAGGAGATGGCTCAGTCAGTCAAGTGTTTGCCACACAAGCTTGAAGACCTGAGTTTAGATCCCAGTAGCCATGTAACAAGTGGGGTGTGGCAGCATATGGCTATACTGCCAATACCAGAGCATCAGAGGCAATTGGAGTCCTGGATCTTGCTGGACAGCCAGTCGAGCTGAACCAATGGGCTTTGGGCTAGCTGAGACACCCTAAATGCAGAGACCAATAGAGAAAGACAACCAATGTTAACCTTCAGCCTTCACCTGAACACAAACATGTACAAACACACATACACACATATAAACACGATGCATAGAGAAAAGTAAGAAAGAAAGCCATACATTAAAAGTGAGGGGATGACTCGGTAAGTTGCTTACCCACAAGCAAAAGGACCTTAGTTTAACTATCCAGTTCTTATTTGAAAAAAGTCTGGGGCAACCTTCACATGCATGCATACACATAAACATACATGCGCATATAACACAAAAAGATTTACCAAAGAAAGTCACACATTAGCTGAGCAATCACCAAATGTAAAATATAAACATAACCATCTAGGCTAGAGCTGAGTAAACTACCACCCATTCCCTTGACAAGGCAACTCGAACTTTTCTACCAGTGCTGGTCACCAGCAATCCAAGGAGACCACTGTCACAGGCTGGGAGAACAGTGCCTATGCTGACCTCCCCACTGAGCATACAATTTTACATCACCTGATTTACATCACAGTATCAACTGTGCTTCTCTGAGTTCTACTGAGAAATGTCACTCACAGTTCTTTCTCTTAGCAGACTCTGCACAATAACAGAATAATTTTAACTTGCTGGGTATTGTTTGAATCACTATAAATTACAACAGTTGTTTTAAATGTAAGACTGACTTTTTAAATGATTTGTTTTATTTTATGTGTATGAGTGTTTTGCCTGTGTGTATGTAAGTGCACTCCATGTGCTTAATACCCATAGAGGCCAGAAGATGGAGTCAGATCCCTGGAACAGGAGTTCTGGATAGTTGTGAGCCATCATATAGGCACTGGGAATTGAACTTGGGTTCTCTGGAAGAGCAGCCTCTGAGCCATCTCTCCAGGCCCCAAATACTGAATCTTAATGCAGTCATTGAAGGTTTGTCTTTCCAAGGAGTTCCTGTGGGAAGGGTGTGTGTGTGTGTGTGTGTGTGTGTGTGTGTGTGTGTGTGTGTGAAGCTTCCAGCAGTGTACATAGTAGGTAAATTGGACCTTGTCACGTCCCACTTAAAACCATACATTACACTTCAGTATAAGTAGAAGAAAACCAACACTATGATCTGTGGGTCCCAAGATGACCCAGGCCCTGCCACTTCTACAGACCCACTTGTTCACCTTCCCCTTCTCTTACCCGCAGTCATTGTAGGGTTGTTTTTCCAGGGAGTGGTTGTGTGAGGGGTGTGTGTGTGTGTGTGTGTGTGTGTGTGTGTGTGTGTGTGTGTGTGTGTATCATGTTCTCTGTGGGACTTAATTCCTTAGAAAATGTCACAAGCCTCCCATTTTGTTAATTCCACTGGTCTCATCTTCAAGTTAAACCATCTTAAGTATTCTGAATAACACCTTTTTAATCACTCAAACTTGAAATGTTTGGCAACACATGATAAATTCAAATTCACCTTCCGAAGATGATAATGGATTATATAAATATACTGAATGTCATGTGGGGTGTTAAACAATC